AATATTTAATACACAGTTTCATTATATAATTCAATCAATGGTTTCCATATATATCTCAATGATCTAAGTTATGCGAAGGAGACGGTGAGTCAGACATCGGTTATTACTTTTCCAAATGATAGGGGTACAATAGTAAACTTGACAAAAAATGGACTTAAAATTAAATAAATTCCCTTGTCGGACTTATCTCCAAATAAGTCTAAATAGAGGGACTGACCTCCAAAATTTTCTTTTATTATTGATTGGTGATACCATGTCATCAATGGTGACATAGTATCACCGTTAAATTCAATATTTACTCATTTGACACAAGTTTCTTATGAAAATTAGAAGCCAATATATTTTTTAAATTAAAAGTTGCTTATATAGGATCGGCTACAGAAAACCCTTGTGTCTCGGCCCGAACTGAAGATATGTTTTCCAAGCTCAAAGCTGATTTGGCAAAGCAATTATCTTTGATGCAAGTTTACTGCATATAGGCCATAAATTTTGCAAATATTCTACACATGTCCAGTAATGATCTGAATTGGCTTGTGTTGAATCCCATATCAAAAATTTATACGAAAAATCTTGAATATACATATATAGGAGCAATGACCCTAAAATAATAACTCCATGACTAGGCCTTTTGGGAGAGTTCTTGTGATTACTACATCCCCCACTAGAATAAATGTATATGCATTTTAGACCTTCGGAATAAAGGATTGTTATATATGCAATTTTTTCAGGATGAGAAATTTAAATTGCCTTTGGCAATCCTCATTTTTCGTGGTTATAAAGGAACAATAATTGATCTCCTAAAATTATATCATTCCATATGGGTATTAAATTATTACCATGTGAAATTATCGAGACTTTGTTTTTGTTATAGAGATTAAGTTATTGAGGAGTTGATGTCACGATTTGAATCTTATCATTTGAGGCCATCGTATAGAAAAATTAGTTATTGCATGTACCTGAAGGCACCGAATAATAAAAAATGGTAAACAATAAATATATTTGTATTCATATCTAAAATTAAATTACAAACATAAATAAGAGATAAATTTTAAACATCGGTTTGTAGTGGGGGTGAGAGGTGGTGGGCTTCAATGGTGGTGGTAGGAGATACTGATAGTTGTGGTGGATGATAATGACCATGGTGGTGGCAAAGGTGGCGGCGACGTTGGTGGTGGCGGTGGCGGAGATGATGATGGTGGGGGGGTGGCGGTGGTGGCAGGAGCGGGGCGGTGGAGGAGGCAGTGGTGGGGTGGTGGCAACGGCGGTGGTGATGATGGTAATGGTGGTGGTGATGGTGGCAGTGGCAGTGGTGGTGGCAGCCACGGTCAAGATAGTGGTGGGGGTGGTGGTGGTGGTAGAGATAGTGGTGGGGATGATTTCAAACACTATATTTTTTAAAGTACTTATTAGAAATAATTTCTAAAAGTACTTTTAAAAAGTTACTTCAAACACACTTTTAGGGGTTTTTTTTTTTTTTTTTATTAAATTTAGGGTGCTAATATTAGCCGTTATATTAACTTTAAAGTAAAATTTAAGGCGATCTTAACCGCGAATAAAAAAAATTATTTTATTTATCTTTTGAGATTTGAATTATAAGTTACTTTATTATATAGATATTATCGTTTGATATAGGATGGTACTAGATATGCAAAAATTGTTGTTGGTGTATTTTTTTTTCATTTGTTTAAGTTTCTTTTTCCCCACTTCTTCCTCCTATATGATTTGATGACTTCCAATTAAATGAAGACATTCTTTACTTTTTAAAGTTTTTATCTATGTATTTTTCTTTTTGGATATGTTTTTTTTAATATATATTTCATGTTAATTGATAATGTACAAAAGTGAGTTTATGCAAAATTAATCAAGAATGAAGTAAGAGGGCTTAACAAAAGCAATCACAAAAATTATATGGTTCGATCTAGGTGACCTACTCTACTAGGAATGACTACGGTGGTCTGAGAATCTTATTATTCAAAAGGTGTAGTGTGCTGAGATATGTGTGATGCATCCCATCTACAGGTGGAGCTTATAGTTTATAATGAAGTATAGTTTTCATGGCGCCCCATAGCGAGTTTTGATGGAGGTGCCATCATAAGGAGTCCTGGTTAAGGCGGCACCCTTGTAACGAGAGTGGGTGGCTCCACGATGTTGGCGTAATGGACAAGGTGAATGAGGTTTGCGGTACGTACCTTGATTCCCTTCATAAGCTGGAGATCTTACATGCGTCACTAGTAGATTAAGTTTTCTAAGACGATAGACTTAGTCCTTGTTGGCTTGTATTTTTTATCTGAATTTGGCTGCACCTGTAACCTGAGTTTGGTTTGTATTTTTAAACTGGACTTCTAAACTAGGCTTGGTCTATAATTCTAGACAGGGCCTAGTTTGGACTGAGCCTGCCATTAATTACTCTAAAACGATTATTACCCAATTTAGTTTCTATTAATTGTGGTCGTTAAATCGATGGCCAATGTGAAAATAAGTACAATCAAAGAGAATAGAATTCGAATTTCAAGATTGAGTAACAATTGTTCTTTAAATCGAAGGAGACCAAAAGTTTTCTTCATCTTTATGATATTAAGATTGTACTCCAATTAGAGGCAATCACAATGCATTTGTTGATAATTAAAATTATAACCTAACCTGGCCTCTATAGGGGCGGAACCAAGAATTTCTCTAAATTCACATAAAATCGTAACTAATTTTTGACCAATCCATAATTTGAAGAAATCCAGGCAATTTAAAAAAAAAACAAATAATTTTAAAGAATTGTAAATAATTTTTGATTGAAAATTATCGAAAAATATATTTATTATTATTGACTCAATAACTGCACGTCAAGTGCGGCGTAAGTCTGCCCACCATTAACCACATCCACAGGTCATAACATTTCTGACATTGGATAGAATTGAAATGTATTCCCCAATTGTATTAGATGAACAATGATTTAAGTGTTAAATGCTAATGCTGGCTGCAAAACAAAAGGCACGAGGGACTGAGAAATCTTCATTCGGAGATGAAGGCAATAAAAAAAGTTTTTCAAGTGGACAAGGAATGGGTGAGCCCACTTCTTTTCCTCTTTGTTTTGGGTGGGCACGTCTCTTTTGTTCTTTTGTTTTGGGGAAAAATTAAAAAAAAAAAAAAAAAATCTAGGATGGGCAAGTGCCCCCTTTGGCCCAATAACAGTTCCACCCCTGTCTACACCACTGAAATTACATAATATTTACATATGATATCACTATTAAATTACACATCACAGCATACATAAAAGTCTATCACACATACGTATACCCATCGTAATCTAATACTTGTTATAGAAAGTACACGAAGTATATGTGTTGTCTTATTTTCGACTCGCGACATAGTGTCTTTGTTGTAATTTATATTTTCTCCAATGGCATTCAAACATTCAAATGATAAAAGAGAATTGAAAATTGGGTTTCATGAGCTGGACAGTCCTAAATATAAGGTAGTTCCATGTTAGATTGGCATGTCATTTTGAGGTTGTTTCAGCGGGAATCTGGGGAATACCCACCATTCTGATCATTTTCTCTTTATATGGAGCTCACGTTTTGAACCACCCAATCCATGTGCAATCTAAGGGGGAACTTTTGTCCTCCTCCGATGAAGAAATAGATGGAGAGAACCATCAAATCCATGAAATTATAAGCTTATTTCAAAAGGTCAGGAGGTTTGGTTATGCTTATCTGTCGTATTGGATTGAGACAGATTCATGTTAAAAAATGTATCACGCATAATTTATTCGTTTATTAATTTGTATTTAATAGATAGTGTTATATTGAGTTCATGTAGCAGATGAATTGTATATAACCGATGTATAGACGAATTGTGTTGTACATTTTTTTAATTGGTTTTACTCATACCCGATTCGTTTATTAATTATGTTATGTTGGATTCACTTATGAAACAAAAAAGCTTTGAAAATATTTCGGAAATAGAATAGAAATGATAAAAAAAATTTGAAATTTTATTTCCAACACATTTTGAAACATTTGTAAAAATCAAATAATCTTTTTGAAACACCTTAAAATATTTCGAAGCATTGGTGACAATAATGTTGAAACATTTCGAAACACCTTGAAAAACCAAAATTTTGATTCAATTAATAATTCGTTTTAATTTTTTAAAAAATAAAAAACATTTCGCCTATTTCGAAATAAAATTTTGCGATTTAGATTAACTGTTATAGCATATACTTTATTGTGAAATTGGCATATGTATGGTAACATTGTATTGTTGTGATATGAGCTTTACAATTTGGAGTCATAGAAATATTTTATACATATACATATGTAGTGAAAATAGTATAACCTAATCCTAACAAAACTTCTGAATAACAAAAATCTCATACACCGAGTAACTTATGGAATATTCAATGTGAATGTAACTATACATGTGACGTAATCTATTTAATTATACGTATTTATAAAATAAACCTTAAATGATTGAATCTATAATATGAAATAGACAGACTTCAATAAATTCATCCAACAGTTTTAAATAGACTCATTTAACAGCTACGAACATCCCTCTTAAGATCATTTACATTGAATTTTCTCTCCCAATTCATCACTTTTCGTTTACATTGCACCGTACCTTCAATTATAGAGTTACGGATAGTGGTTATATCAATCTTGACATAAAAACGACTTTACCGAGACATGAATAATATGTTAGAGGGTGATAGTACTAATACAAATCATGAATAACACAAGAAACCTAGCTCTACATTAATTTTATAATGTGGGTGTTACCGTATATGCAGTATAAGAAGGTATACCCACCGTTGATTATATTAGAGAAGATCTAAATCTCCGATAACAAGCAGTTGAAGAAATGGGGGGTTTTTTTTTTATTTCTTTTTTCAGAAATTGGCAGAGTTATATATACATCTTGACTGTCACTGTCCAAACTCAGAAAGTTTCGAATCTTTCGAAGAAGGACTATGTAAAAATGTAAATAAAGACCATGCATCTACGAAAATGGGAAATAAAACAGATCAGCGAAGCACGTTCCTCGGTCGTATCCCACATGCCCCTTTTGAACTGGTTTTTCGATCTCTTTCTCTCTCTCTCTCTCTCCTGTATCTGCATTGGTCACGTACCAGATGCCAAAAATGTTGTCTCACAATCAAACCCATAGTACAGTTTTAGCTTTTGAACATATATAACTGGGAACAGACAATATAGCCACCTTGCATTACCAAGTTTTGTGCATCGAACGTTGCAGGAGGCAGTCGAAACCTTAACATCTGTACTGGGCCTCTCTTTCTTTTTTCTAAAGGTACCCAGAATCTCTATACGAATTGCATGTGTATTTGTTTATGTATCTGTGTATGTATAGGTATATAGTTTTTCTGAATTAATTTTGAGATAGTTTGGACAATCTATTTCCAGTAGCATTGTTTCCATTTACAGTATCATTGATTGCACCATTCATTTACTCTACAGATCCGATGAACAGAAACCCATAAATACATAATCATGCACTAGCATTGATAGGTTGCTCCATTCCCGGATTGAAATCTCATCATTTCCTCTCTTTTTTCATCTTTTAATGCGCGAATAGAACTAGTTTCTTTAATATGGGATTGACCATGTATGGAATAATGATCAGCATTTCTCAAGGGGGTTTTTGATATGAAATCCTGAGTTGTATACATTTTGTGACTGTAGGTTTAGCACCTGTTGGGAAAGACCTACCCCATTACATCTTTGCCAAAATATAGAGGTTAACCAGAAAAAAGAAAAAGAAAAAAAGAAGGCGGCTTAACACATCAATTAGTGATCTGGGTGCTCTTTTAGATCAAGGAGTTCAATAAATTGAGGAAGATGAGCGGATCCGTGCTTGTAGCTATTGCGGCTGCGATTGGCAACTTGTTGCAAGGATGGGATAATGCAACAATAGCAGGTATGTCTCATTACTGGTATATATAGTGTCTTACTCTTTGTGTGCTTGTGTGTGTGTGTGAGAGAGAGAGAGAGAGAGAGTTTTTGTTTCTCAATTTTGAGAATTCACAGCAATTCCAGAATGTCTTACTCTCCATATGGCCAATTTATGCTTTAGTTGATCGACTCATGATTTTTCTCATAGGATGATATGATTTCCTATTAAAGTCCATAGGATAGTTATCTTTTGTTCAAGTGTTTTCCTTCTTAATTTCTTAGTGGTTGCTACAAATCTTTATGATGCGATATATCCATCTAATAGTAAAAAAAACATATATATGATCTGTTGCAGGGGCCCTTATTTACATCAAGAGAGAATTTCATTTGGAAGGCCAACCTACTATAGAAGGGCTAATTGTAGCAATGTCACTCATTGGAGCGACAGTTATTACGACATTCTCTGGACCTGTATCAGATTGGCTTGGACGGCGTCCCCTGCTCATAATTTCATCTGTTCTGTATTTCCTCAGCGGTTTAGTAATGTTGTGGTCTCCCAATGTCTATGTCCTGCTTATGGCCAGGCTACTGGATGGATTTGGAATTGGTCTTGCTGTTACTCTTGTTCCCGTCTATATATCTGAGACAGCACCTCCAGAAATAAGGGGATCGCTAAATACCCTCCCTCAGTTCACAGGTTCTATTGGAATGTTTTTGTCATACTGCATGGTCTTTGGAATGTCACTGATGGATTCACCAAGTTGGAGGTTGATGCTTGGGGTTCTTTCTGTTCCTTCTATTATTTATTTTGCGTTGTCTGTTTTTCTCTTACCTGAATCTCCAAGATGGCTTGTAAGTAAAGGGCGGATGCTAGAGGCTAAACAGGTCTTACAGAGACTACGTGGCAAAGAAGATGTCTCAGGTTCGTCCACTGGCACTGTTCTTTGGAAAATAATATCATTTCGTTTTAGTGCAACAGCATGGAATTTTTGTTTTTTTTGCCCCATTTTGATGGACAATTTGATTGAGTGGCTGAATTCTTGCTAGAATTTCCACAGAAGTACCAATTTCTCTACTACAAACTTGTTATGCTTAGATTTTTTAATGAAAAGCAACATGCTTCTGTATATATTTTATTATGCATAAAGTCAGAGTCTAGGTTAATTAGCTAAGACGAAAGTTCGCTTTCATGGCCTTTTCTTCTCGATTGGTGACAGTTTGTTCTTGTTTCAAACTAAACAGGAGCAAGGGTTATTCATTTTTCAATTTATTTGATTAATCCTTACCCTGAAATCATTGTCTAGCTAAATTGAATCACAATTACATGATCCTTATAAAAATGTCATTGGTTCTTGTGACAAGAAGGTTCAGTAGAATAACATATCATGGCAGAATGAACATGAAAAGCTTTCTATGAAACCATTCTGTCCAGCATTTAATCCTATGTTCGTTCCTGCCTCCTAGAAATCCTCAAGATTTAAAGAGGATGCTTTTCTGTCCAGTAGGCATACTTTGTGCTTGTCCGCCCATGTTGAGATATTGTGCAACACATTTTCTTGATTAATCCAATGAATTTGTTTTATAAAAGGGCTTTTGGAAAGTTCCTTTGTCTTTAAACTGTATTCTCCAATGTAAGCAGATAAAACTTTAAGAAACTTCACATGTCTCCAGTAGGTACTTACTTGCAACCGGAACTTGTGCTTTGTAATATCTTATTGAAAAATATATTGATACATATGCAGAAAAGAGGTACATACAGTTCACAAGAATTGTCAATTTATGTTAGCTCCATATGTCTTCCTTTAATCCTTTATGAAGTTAGAAATTGCTAAGTTTGGGAAAAAAAGTTAAAAATTGCTTAAACCAGTATATATTTAATATAGACACACTTCAGTGACTGATGAATGACTTCCTCCTACGGTATTGGTAGTAGACCTTAACCTGGTGGAGGTGCTAAGTCATTTTTACTGTTGCTTTGTGGATGCTGAATGTATAAATTTGAATTAGTTTTTAATGCAAAACTAAGAAGGCATAAGCTGAATTCAAGAGCTTGAGACCCCCGCCCCCCCCAGAAAAGGTCCAGGATTGACAGTGTTTATATGTATTTTCTTTATGCCTTTATCGTACCCTAATAGCATTGCAGGCGTGACAGATACTAGAATTTATCATCTTCTTGTGCCTGCAGCCTGCCAACGATATCTGATGTCCTGTTTGAAAAATGTGGTTGGAGTGAGAACATGATTTTCTACGGTAATACCAAGCAATGTCTCATGCTGTGATCCATACAACAATGGCAAAGCCAGTAATTTTTGAACTTCGATAAAGCCTCCATGACTAGCTCTCTTCTTCTTCTTCCTCCACCTCCTCTCTCTCTCTCTCTCCAAATCACATTAGGCAGTTCTTTACCTGCAAATGTTGTACTCAGTGATACATTTCCTGTTTTCGAGCATATTCAGCTTTGTTGGAATGCACTTTCTCTGCATGGATTTAAGTTGGAAGCAAGAGGTTGGAAACAAGCGCAAAACAGCAACCCTCTCTAGTTCAATAAACCACAAGTTTTTTTGTCTTCCATTTTCCCTGCTTTACAGTGATTTTCAATAAAACTACCAGGGGCAACGAAGTTCTAAACAAGCATGCAATGTCCTCTTCACATGCAGCACATTGTTTTCGGATAAATCATCTACTGATAGATTTTAGCCCATGATTTTTCATTTGATGTTTACATTTCTCCAAAATGTACATACTTTGTGTTATGTTTTTAGCTAAAATATATTGTCTCCCACAAATTAAACCGTCAATTTTTTTCAATACAACTGAATTCCCACTTGGTCTACTTTTACTATTCGCTTTGCAGACGAACGTAACTATCTCAAACTCATTTGTAGATGTTGAGCCACATATTTGTTATCAAAATGCTGGGTTATATGTAGTGTCGCCCACATCCTTTGTGTTACTCAGATGATCTAAACTTGAGACTGCTTTATGTACAGGTGAAATGGCTTTGCTGGTTGAAGGTCTAGGAGTTGGAGGTGAAACAACAATAGAAGAGTACATAATTGGCCCAGATAACGAGCTCACTGATAATGAGCATGCAGCAGAGAAAGATAAAATCAAGTTATATGGCGCTGAAGAAGGCCTCTCATGGATAGCCAAACCAGTTACTGGCCAGAGTACTCTTGGATTGGCCTCTCGTCAGGGGAGCATGGCTTTCCAGAGCATGCGTCTTATGGATCCTATGGTCAGTCTCTTTGGCAGTGTTCACGAGAAGCTCCCAGAGATGGGAAGCATGCGCAGCATTCTTTTCTCAAATTTTGGCAGCATGTTCAATGCTACAGAAAATGTTAAAAATGAACAGTGGGATGAGGAGAGTCAAAGGGATGGTGACCAAATATCTGATGCTTCTGGGGCTGAATCTGATGACAACATACGGAGCCCATTGCTCTCGCGCCAGGCTACTAATGCAGATAAGGACATGGACCAACCTTCCAATGGCAGCTTATTAAGCATGAGACACCATAGCAGTGTCATGCATGGCAATGCTAATGAACCAGTCAGTGGTATGGGTATTGGTGGAGGTTGGCAGCTTGCATACAAATGGTCTGAGAAGAGAGGTGAAGATGGGAAAAATGGAGGACTTAAAAGGATCTATTTACACCAGGAGGGCGCCCCTGGATCTCGGCGTGGATCCATTGTTTCACTTTCTGGTGGTGATATCCCTGCCAACGGTGAATTAGTTCATGCTTCTGCTCTGGTGAGCCGATCAGTTCTTCGGTCGGAGGATCTTATAGGTCCGCATCCAGTTGGAGCAGCAATGATTCAACAATCTAAATCTGCTCCAAAGGGGCAAGTTGGCATGATCTTTTTGAACCAGGGGTCAAGCATGCATTGATTGTTGGTGTTGGAATCCAAATACTACAGCAGGTACAATGATTGTTCTACAGCATTTCATAAGTAAACAGTACAGTCGAGTCTGGATATGGTGCTTAATTCCTTAATTTTAAATTTTTGCATATGGTTCAGGTCAGTTGTCATTACTATTTTCTCCCTCCTGTCACAAGTAGGCATTCCTCATTCATTTTCATGAAAAACTTGTCATCTCTATAATCTGGAACGACCTGCTCTGCACTCTGCTGTGGTTGATCACGTAGGGCTTTTTGGAATTGCAATGAGATGGGAACCAACTAGAAAAGTTCTTTTGACTGAAAAAGATATATACTTGCGTAAGTTTACTCCTCTGGACATTTATGTATAAAGATTCAATAAATATGATGTCCTCTGTAAATCCTGCCACTGCTGTATGTGTCTAGCTAAGCAGGAAACTCTCATGCCTATAATCATAGCGATCTGCTTTATACACCATAGTATTGCTCCTCAGTACTTTTAATTCATACCACTAGTTCTGTAATTTGAAGCAAGTGTCCTGTTTCAACTTGTATCCATGTTACCCTAACTGATCTGCTTAGCACAAGATCTATTTAGTGATTGACCTGGTAATATGCCTTGATCTAGTGTGTATCTCTCCAGGTCCATTTTAATGCGTGGTTTGTGTCCTCAAGTTGCTTTATATTTTCAGATGGGTGTGATTAAAGTCGAATAACGGCAATTCTGTTGTTAACCCGAAAAGCGAGGCTTTGGAGAACCCACTTGAGTCTGTTCTATACAAACATATCACTAATAGAACTTAGAAGGGGCCCCTACTTGATTGGTTCATTAATGCTATCTTTGTTATTTTTAGTGGTTCAACACGTCCTGTGGACACTGTAATGTTCATCATCATTCACCATAATGTCAAGAACCCAACCTAACATGCCTCCCAAACCTGCGTTAGTTTTGATATGGATTCCCTGCAACCCTTTGTACTCTTGTGGGAACAACACCTACTGGCCTGAGTGACCGCCCTTCTTGCAACTTTCAGCATGCCTGGGCTTAAATGGTATTGATTCCCATAACCAATTGTAATGTTGGCCAAAATTCACAATTTGTTGTCAATGACATATGTCTTCAGTAACTTAGTGTCATAATTGTTTCTCATGAATAATTTCTTTCTCTTTGCAGTTTTCCGGGATAAATGGGGTTCTCTACTACACCCCTCAAATTCTTGAACAAGCAGGTGTAGGCATTCTTTTATCAAATATGGGCATTAGTTCAGACTCTGCATCTCTCCTTATCAGTGCTGTCACAACGTTTTTAATGCTTCCAAGCATAGGTGTTGCAATGAGAATGATGGATATCGCAGGCAGAAGGTAATTAATTTCTTCAATGATAAAACTCCAAACTCAGTATAATAATTTTTTTTATTATGCATGTGTGCAGCATCTGGACTTTATGAGAGCTCATTTCTCTGTACGTGTTTTTCGTCCTAGAAAAAGTAGAACACCTGTTCATGTTTGTAGTCCTTTTTAATGTATTTGGATTGTCATTCATAGTAAATGTTTTGGATGGATTGATAATCCTTATGACTTCGTGTTATGACTTCATATTTTGCCTGATGTATTGAAGGCGTTTAAAATTGTACTAGAGAATGGTGGTCAGCAACTGTTTAAAGGAATCTGATGTCTTCAAACTGGTGAAGCATGCGTATTTAACTTGCTTTAGTTGAAGATCAATTTGTTGTCGTAACTGTTATTCTCTTCTCCAGGTGGCTGCTGCTGACCACATTACCTGTCTTACTAGCATCACTCATTATCCTAGTCCTTGGCAATGTTATTGAAATGGGAACTGTCATTCATGCCATTATCTCAACCATTAGTGTTGTGGTCTACTTCTGCTGCTTTGTCATGGGCTTTGGGCCAATCCCAAACATCCTCTGCTCAGAGATCTTTCCTACCCGTGTTCGTGGCCTCTGCATTGCTATATGTGCTCTCACATTTTGGATTGGAGATATCATTGTCACTTATTCGCTCCCTGTGATGCTCAATTCCATTGGCCTTGCTGGTGTTTTTGGCATCTATGCTGTTGTGTGCTCCATAGCATGGATTTTCGTCTTTTTAAAGGTTCCAGAAACGAAAGGCATGCCTCTTGAAGTCATTACAGAGTTCTTCGCTGTTGGCGCAAAGCAGGCTGCTGCAGCTGCCAAGACTAACTGACTGCATTAAGGGGTTCGAACATTTGGTGATTTGTCTTTACTAGTGTATGAGCTGTTACCGTGTTACCAACTCTGTCGATATGAGTTTATTTGGAGCTAAAAATATAATTGAAATGGTGATTAGCTGAGAAAGTGAAAAGTAATCATCGACAAAATTGAGATCAGAGGGTACTCAGTGGCTGCCATGTTACATCTCCCATTTGTTTTCCATACATTTTTTGTTTTCGGTTACTTCTTTATCCTCACTTCATGTTTTCCTATGTTTTTTTTAATGTTAGTCTGAAATAGTCTCCAATGCAGATGAATGTTCATTTATTAGGGTTTTGTTATTGTACCTATACTGTTTACATTTGTTCAGCACAAAAAGTCCTAAAATTTTCCATTATGAGTTTTTATCCGTAGCATGCTAATTAGAAGCTAGTGTGATTCGTTAATTTAGTAGAAAATCATTTATGTGCCAGTTTCTCTGCCAGCATTACTGGTTACTTGATGGTGATAGAACCGCGTTGGACTTTTTTCTATATATATTTGTGGCATCGAAAAACTTTGATTTGGTCATTTTTAGCGCTGATCCGGGTTTGGTTGATGGTAATTTCCTTTTCAAATATTCTGGAAGATTCTTAACGTAATTCACATGAATAATTCATCTGATTTGAGGCAATTTTGCATGATGATGATCTCCATGGATGGAATGGAACCCACTTCTAACTATAAGCCTGTTCAGAAGCTTTTTATCTTAGCTTTGTTCATTTGCTAAACTAAACTTGTCTTTTGAGCCATGTTTCAGCAGTGGGCACCAGGTTGAAATCCATCATCCATGGCTCAGCTTGAACAACCAACAGAACTACAAAGGACAATGACCGTCGATGACTTGGGGCATTAAGGCAAAAGACGATGACTCTTGGAAGGAAAGAGAAGGCATTGATTACCTTAGACTTTGCTCGCAAAGACTATCCACCTTCAGCATTTGAAACTGAGGAGAGCCAGTCATTAAGCACATTGGGCTAAGCAAGTGATGGGAAAAACACACTTCGATCTAGTTTTTTTTGGATAAATAAGATCAGAATGGAGATCAAAGCCCGAAAAACACCTAAGTAAACTTAGATTTTGACCACACCGCTTATCCACGAGTCAATAGGTATGTGATGCTTAAGTTTTTAGGCTAGTCCCATGCCTAATAACTTCCTATCAGTGTTTTCGGGTCAACATATTAGAATAAATGATGCTTAGGTAATATTTGATTTGTATAGTTTTGAAATTATTTCAATCACAGACGAATCATTCATTGGCTGGTGTCTAATGGTGCAACTTTGCCCTTCGAATCGATTAAAAACTAAATTTATAACCAATAAAATTCATTTGAATCTTGTATTTGAAGGATTAGAATCCTTACGTCTAGAAACTACCACCACCAAGTAATCTTATAAAATTAGAAGTAATTCCGTAGCAACACTCATATATCATATTATCTTAATTTTTTTACTTTATTATCTATCTATCTATATATATATATATATATATATATATATATATATATATTGTGATTTTTAACTCTTTTTAATTAGTTGTTATTTATATAAACAATAGAATGCATTCACGAATGACATAAAATATTACTGTTGTTTTGGCTTTACTCACGGAAATGATATATTCTTATACGGACTTAGAAAAAAAGAGATAGTCAAACCTATTAAAAATTTGAGAGTTATTAATGACTTGAAAAAAAAAAGTTGAACTAGATTTTCTTCATTAAACTTAATTAGACTCACATTTTTAAATTTGGTGTGTATTATGAAAAAAAATGTTTAAAACAAAAAAACCCTTGCTAGGCTCGTGCGGAGTTAATTATTCAATTACAGTTCTTCATAAACTTATTTATCTAATAACTGATATTTTAGAATTTATTTACAAGCTATCATCATTTTTTAAAAAATATTTAAAAATATAGGTTTCAATGTAAAAATAAAAAATTTGTTTGTTTATTACAAAACGAATAATGATAATTTGACAAATAAATATAAATGTATGAAATTTAGGTAAATAACTTTTAAAATAATTGATTAGTACCTTTGCATATGCTTTATGAGGGGAGAATTTTTTTTTTTTTTTTAAATCAATCGAGGAGAAACATATTAGAAGAAATTATCAAAATTTCATTTTGAAATGATTGAAATAATCGAAACGTTTTTATTTTTAAAGAGATTGAAAAAAAATATTGTAATTAAAATTTAAATATTTTGAAATATTTCAGGATATTATGACATGTTTGGAAACTTTTAAGTTGTTCCACTGTGTTTGGAAAATAAAATTTTAATTTTTTTATTCGTTTTTATGTTGTTGGTCAAATAATTTTATAATATTTTTAAAACACTTCTCTTTATTAAATGACCGAAATGCTATATATCTTTTGATCTCCGTCGTCAAATTTTCCGATCAAATTATACCAATCGCAAACCTTTTCGTTTTCGATAGTAGCAGAGCAGCAGAACTGAAAAGGACCTAAGCATGGATCAGCCAGCGACGGTGGTGGACAGAGAATCGCTGGAGAAGAGGCCCGGAATCTTATTCGTCGGATCTCCCAATGTCGGTAAACGTACTCTTCTCTCCGGTACGTCTCTCTCTCCCTCTCTCCTACGCACTTACACATGGATGTGTAATGTAACTATAGGTGTATCTATCTATTGATTTGCTGGTAGGTAGGGTGAGCTCTTAAATCTCTTGTATGTGTGTTTGCATTTAGAGAGAGAGATTCGGTTAGATAATTGGCTTTTTTGCGCAATCCTGTTAGGAATTACAGTGCTTTTAATGCAAATTTACCCACGCTTAAAATCATTGATTTGTTCGAAATTGGTAGAAGTGGGCATGCTTTTGGTTTACTGAAGGTCAATATTGATTCTTTTTTAGCAAAATTCTTTTTGCATGTGCACCTAATGTGATAGGGCTTCAATCTAACTTGAAGTGAGGTTGGGCTTGTATTTACCAATCTACTGAGTTTATTATGTGTTCATTGTTTTCCTAGCACAAAACACGTTTCTTGATGAAATTGCAATGTGTCCTGTTCTCCCCTTTCTCTTTTGGACGCGGCATCCAATACTAGGTGGACAAAATTAAGTTGTTCAATATCTAGATTCTATTACTTGTATTATTCTGGATAAGCTGGGGGACTCCATAATTGAATCCTTGATCTCCTAAAACTAGGATTTTATCAATTGGGAACTTTTTAGAGAATTTGCTGTGTATTGTGCCACACTAAAACAAACACTATCACCTTGAAGCCTTTGCTTATGGAACTTTCAACCGTGGTACTATCTCCTGGATCTCAATCAGCAACAACAAGCGGTGCCTTTCCTTTGGCATTCTTAGAAAAAAGGATAGCGAAAACTTCTTCATATGATTTGGAGCAAAGCCCATGGTATGTGTGGATTCTGCCTGCAATGCGCTATTAAGACTTAACGCTGATGGGTGATATATTTGTAAGTCTTGAGCTGATTTGGAACTCAATGTGCCAGCAAAATGGCTGATGTGAAGAATGGCTGTTGAGGTTTATGTAAAGAGTGGCTGTTGTGGTTTATGGCAGAATTTGAATTTCCATTGCCTCATCTAGAACAATAGCCATAGCCTAGAGGAATCCTGAAAGGTCGTGCTGTTGCCATAATCTGAAGAACCCAAAGCAAATGACTTATTTCATTTATGTTTTTAATGAGATTACGAAACTTGGTGGCTGGGACAGCATTGAAGGGCATTCCTATGTGTCTTTAGAATTGAATTGGTAAAAGAGACAACATTTGGCTTATTTTGTGGGGGTTTCATAGGAGGATAATTAGGGAATTTTATTAGTGGAGATCATTCTAGAGAGTGGACTTACCAACTGTAACATGTTTTTTAGGTTCTTTGTTTGTTTATGTCCACTCTGTATAGTGTGTACAAAACTTGTTTAGTTTGGAGTTTTGATTATTTTGCATGCTTGTCGTGGTTCAGTTGACATGGTGTGCCTTAGCATAGGCAGATTAATGATATGGACGCAATCCAGCAGGTAAATATTCTCTATCAAAGATTAAGGCAATTTGTGCAGTCTAACCATTTTAATTATTTGTTTATATAGGATTACTCTCTTTGGATTTTGAAGATGCTTCTGATTCATCGTCTGATGTACTTGCATATGGGTAAGTTTATGAGAGATTTGTTAGCTAGCCACTGTACAATAATAAAACATGCTCGGATGCTAGAATGATATCATGCAAATCCATGTAGAATTTTCCACTCATGTACTTACAGAGTAAGTATGATCTGTAATCAGGTGGACTATTGACACAAAATATTACACAGCTGATGTTTGTGTATGGATGGCTCACCTTCATGATGAGTTTTCAGATGGAGCCCTGCCAAAATTTGACCAGTTGGCTGCCTTGGTCATGGTTTTCGACATGAGTGATGTTGGCCTCACCCACACTCTTGCTTACTCTCTATATTGCTTTATTTGTGGAAGTTTCAATTTGTACCTGCAAAATCTTATTTGAACTCCAAGCGTATAACTTATATTGCAGCCTGATATTTTGATGTGATTCCATTTGCTCATGCCACTATCTACAGCTATCATCTTTTGCTGCACTAAAAGATTGGGTTTCTCGCACCGATATCCAGAACTTTGACATACTGTTATGCATTGGGAACAAAGTGGATCTTCTACCTGGTCATGCAGCTCATGTTGAATACAGAAGGCATCTGCTGAAACTTGAAGAATCTTCTGTTAATCCTTATCCACAGTTTTCAGATCATGGAATTGCTGAAACCGAAGGAATTAGTTTACTGGGAGATGATGAATCATTATGGGAGGCTAAGAGCTCTTGTATGGAATGGTGCATTCAACACAACATTGAATACATTGAAGCTTGTGGATCCAATGCTGATTTTGACAAATGTAAAGCCTCATGATGTCTTCTGTTTTACATCTGGCTATTAGTTTTGCGTTCAATTTATCTTGTTTTCATTTTTTACAGTAGACTAGATACAATAAACATAACTGAGGAATTTGAAATGCCATGCTTCATCATAAAAAGAGAAAAAGAAAGAAGGTGCTGCAAAACGTACTGGGAAATAGACCCATAGTCTAAGCGTTATTTTACACTGACTGGCTCGGTTGTCAGGTCTGGGTGTGTTACTTGGTCTCCCCTTTACTTGCTTTTCAAACATCTTCCCATCTTGAAGTTTTAGTTATATGTAGCCATATACTGGTATTCATTTCCTGGATAAGAGTTAAGAGATTCTAGAGAAATTCCAGGACTGAGGAGTATCTTGATACGCATGCATATTTAGCGATATCATTGATGCAAAGTTGTCATTTCAATATGTTGTTGACACTCCCTCACCTATGTTCCTTCTCAAAGTCCTTGTAATATAGGCAGTTGTATTTGTACTTCACAGTTACATTTATCCCTTTCTAGCATCCTTTCTAGAAAAAATTATCTACAACATTTAGCTTGTCTCAAAGATCGTGCGTGGTGGAATGGACGTATTTCTGTATGTGTCTATTCCTCCCTTTTCCACGAAATTTAGTTCATGCTCTGGTATTTTTTTTAGATTTATTGAAATGAAAAGATGTTTTCTTGACAGGTTTGTCAGTCGATGGTGATTCCCAGGGTGTTGAGAGACTCTATGGGGCCCTCTCTGCTCATATGTGGCCTGGAATGATCTTAAAATCCGGTGATAAGATAAATGAGCCATCATTACCTGAACAACAAGGTTTTGCTCATGACCTTATTGACCTGGAAATACTACTTTTTATTTTATCAAATTGCTTGAGTTTTTTAATCCACACTGCTCAGAGTTATCCGAAGAAGAATCGGACTTTGAAGTGGAGTACGAAATCTTATCTGCGGGTTCAGCAGAACCCTGGGATGACACAGATGGAGGATGGGTCTCAGCAATTGGTCCTACTGCAACCAATGATGCAGGAGGATCGGTTGCTCAGAATTTCAATGTTACAAGGAGCAAAGACAAATCAGTTGGAGAAGACCCACAGCCCTCAACATCATCATCTCAAATTCAGGAAGAAAGTAGCAGAGAAGTAATGGTCCAAGCACATGAACCAGATAAAGCCTTGGGGCCCGATGAGGGTGCTCATTATGATTACGATGATCTGGAACAATTGATGTCTCAGATTGGGAACATGCGTGATAGCTTGAGGTTGATGCCCGATTTCCAGAGGAGAGAAATGGCAGCAAAACTGGCCATGAAAATGGCTGCCATGTTCGGTGGCGATAGTGATGAAGAGGGGGGTTAATAAATTAGAGAATTTTACTCATATTGCAGGATGCAAAGCTGATCATCTCTCCAATCTGATTTCAGGGTTGCCTTGGAGTTTATTGGTGAAAGCCATTAGAGATCCTATTACGTGAAACGGGCAAGCTTGTGGCAAAGTTTTTCATGTTCCTTTTTTCCCCCCTTCTAGGCTTGCCCTTATGCTGCTTAAGATTGTCCATGAGATAGATTGATGGCCATATCATATAAGGTTATGCACAATAATTTTATTATGTCAGTTCAAATGTCGAAAATACTCAAAAAATTTACTTCATTTTGAGGAATGTGTTAGGTAATTGTCTCTTCAGTAGGAGATTGTATGGGGGTAGATAGGATGTTTCTTGAACAAAAGATCTTGAAAGTAGGCAATCTTCATTTGTCTTCTTTCTTATTTTCATTGCCGTAATAAGGTTGCTAACCTTTTTGTTGATCTGGACAGTAGAAACCATTTGGAGCAGCCGGTAGGTAGGTAGGCCAATGTTTTATTGACAAGACCTGTGAAATGGTTTAACCTACCCATCAGAATCGAGGCCTAGTTTGGATGACAGAAATTAGAGACGATGAATGAAATTCTATTCGAAGGGTATGCAATGCCAAATGTCATGGAAAATAAAAGGATAAAAAATTGAAAGAATAAAAAGTTTGGGCAATAGATAAAACATCATGTTTAATAAGGAAAGAAAATAGAAAGAATGAAAAAGTGAATAAATTAATTTTCCTTCTAACTAACTAAAATCGATCTCCTCATATTTGAGAGAAATAATTAATAGAAAATTAATTATGTATAATGAAATGTATGTTATTTATTTATATATTTTTTAATATATACATATATCATATTTAATTATTACATATAATGTATACATTAAATTTATATATAAATATAATGATAAAATAAGTGTATATATTTTTTTCATCCTTTCACTATTTCATCATACCAAACACAAAAAAATTAATTCTTTCTATTTTTTATACCTCCTACCAAACATAAGGGAGGAAAACAAAAATTCTTTCCTCGAGGATAGAAATTGTATCACTTTCACTTTTTATTTTTCTATTTGTTTATCTAGCCAACCAAACGCACCATTAAGGTAATTACTTAATATGGGTGCAACTCAAGCCGATTGAGAGGTTAACAATAAGGTGGTGTTTGGATCACCATGGAAGAATTGGATTGGATTGGATTTGAATCACAACTCAATGCAAAGTGGTCCGGATTTAAGGATTATAAAGATGAGATTCAAATCGTTTTGGATATGTTTCATTTATTTTGTGGGCCCCCATTAACATGTGAAGATAAAACAAATTAAAATGACAATTTTACCCTTGTGTAAAACAATGTGATCCAATCCTATACCATATTTGGAATGAAATGAAAAGAAAAAAGTTCAATCTATTTGTATTGATATTTTTACGACAAAAAATACAAATGAATAAATTACGCATTTTTACAAAATATTGCAATAAATATTTTGTTCATTTATTTAAATTAATTTGTACAATACACTTTTAATCACAAAAAACATATGCATCATGGAAAAAAAAAATTCAACACAAAAATAATAAACATATCGATACAACTCAAGCCTAAGTCGTTATTTGTTTATTTCTAGAAAATTCAAAGATGTGTGTTTAAAAATAAAACTTAATTATTTTTTTCAATAAATAGCAATATTAATCCGAACCATATAAATTTTTTTCAATGACCCAAATGTAATTTATTTTCCATGACATGACACGATACAATTGAAAGTTATGTAACAAATATTAATGGATGAAATTATTTTTAGAATATAAATGTGAAATATTTAAACTTTGAGGGGTGTAATTTATAATTAATTTAAATTTTTTTAGAGACAAAATAGATGAAAGTTAGACTTTAAGGGTAAATTGAGATTATAGTGAGTTTTCATGGTGCAAGTTGTGATTAGTCTCTTTTTCTTTGAAGATATCTTTCAAGGTATAAATTACTATCTTTCAAGCCATTCTTTTTTTTTTTCCTCTCACCGACAGTCTCTGTGGACTATCTCTAGCTCCCTACTGCCTCCAATCCTCCAGTGCACTTCAAAGGGAACGACTGCAAGTGAGAGCTCCCTCGATCATAGGAGTTATCAGAGATCCCTTTTTGCAATAAGGTAAACCATATATCTGCTAGATTTGGGTTTTTTTTGTTGTTTCTTTTTGCCTTGATTTATTTTGGGTTTGCTTTTCTTCAAACTTTGCTTTGCTTGACGAAAGCTTCGGGAAAAGAACGCCGGCAATTCAATAAGAAGTTGTAAAACTTCTCCATTTCGTTGAGGTTGTATATGTAATTTTATCATGTATCTCTTCACTAGGTTTTGAATCCCTCCATTCACATGGGTTCGGATAATCCCATGTGGGCTGGATTCCAGTGAAGGCGTAGTGGACGCCGAGTTTTTCAATCCCACGAGGAGGCCTTTTCAATTTTTTCAACCAAACCAAGATAAGTGGTCCATTTCACTATTTTAATTTAATTCCACTTCTAATCCCTTTTAATCTTGTCATACAAACACCAACTAAGTATATAATTTTTAGCCTTTAACCCTAACTCTAACTCGAATCCTACGTCAATTTGAGTACTGTCTGAGTTTAATTTGGGTGGGCTCAAGTTGAATTCGAGTTACTTAATTTGAGCTGATTTTGGGTTAAAAGTTGAGTTGGGCTCGGATGAATTAATTCGGATTAATTTTTTGAAGCATAAATTTGATTTTTTGTAGATCTGATTTTTTCAAGTGATTTGAGATTAAGGATGAGGTGCAGATGAAGAGAGAGGGAGATTGAAATTTTGAGACGATTCAGATGAGTGACGATCGAGAGAGGGACGAGTGACGACTGAGAAAGGGATATGAGAGTAATAGAGGCCCAAAATAAAGACTTGAAGTGAAGTAAAAATTTGGACTCTGAAAAGTGAAAATAAATATTAGTCCTAGTTAAATATATTTATGTATATTCGGGCTCAACCCGATTTTAATATTCGGGTTAAATTTGGCAACTCAAGACTTGTCCGAATTCAATTTAGATTGGAATTTTTTAACCCAAGTCCAACCCAAATATTAAAAATTTTAATACAAATCTTATTTTTTTCGAGTTAAACTCGGGTTAAGTTTGAGTTAAGTTTGAGTTGGGCTGTTAAAATTGCACCCCTATTATTTATGTCTTTTCCGGATTGGGATTTGAGAATTGGCAACATGTATTAAAGATAAAGAGAAAAATAGCATACGGATGACATTCTACATTCTACATTATGATTAGTTAATTATTATTAATAAAGGAAGAGATGGTGGTTTTGATGTTCGCTAATTATGAAATATGACTAATATTTTTACTCTCTTTTCGACTTAGTCCAACTCATAACCCTTCGTACGACAAGAGCCATTATTGTTATATTTTCCTTAATCTCTTCAAACTCCTCTCTCTCTTTCTCTCCCTCTCCCTCTCGTCGCCTTTTCTTGTCCTAATCTTTTGTAATCACGAACACTACACTAGTAGTCGTATACACAACCCCACTAGTGTTATATTGGCAAAGATTAATCTTTCTGCTTTTTGCTGTCATTTCTGACTTAACTTCATGTTCAGCTGAAAATTTTGGTAGTGGCAGCCACGACAGAAAGTTGTCTAATGCTGTGAAAGGTGTGACATTGTGATTGGTCGAGTTTTAATGTTTCTATTAGGTTAGTGTAAATCAAGTTCGAGGAATGATCCTAAGCCAGGTTGATCATGGTGGAGAGGAAAAGCATATCACTGAAAATAACATTTGTGGTTCTTTCTTTACTGTCTTCTATTAGGCTCTTTTTTTTTTTGGAAAAAATTTATTCCTCATACTCATTATGATTAGGACCGAAAATGAATCGTATTGGAAAAATGTTTAATTTATACACAATTTATTGTTAAGTGGGTCTAACAAATAAATCTCTTTATGATGTGAATCTATTAAAAGTAAATTCATATTTGATAACTTCATTTTGATTTTGTGATGGGTTTGTGTGTTGAGAATTATATCGTGTCAAGTTTGTATTGCGTATAAATTATTAAACTCGTATCATAGAAAAATTAATGGAGTTTAGATTTAGTGGATAACACGAAGGGGTAGTTTAGCGGAGACAGAGATGAAATATAAATCTAGACATTCTGATTTTAAAACTTGACAATTCTTTTGGGATTGGAGCATCTTCAATATTATATTTTTTTAAACCTAAATTTAAATTTGAATAAAAAATTCTTAAAATTTTTCTTCAATACTTGACTCATACCCATATCAAATGAAAAAAAAAATATTTTTTTTACTCAAATATTTAATAATAAGAGCACATAATTCTTTAAAAATTCAATGATCATATTTTACCCTATTGTAAATTTGAATTTATTTTTTTTTAAATTTGAGTTTCTCCATTGGAGAGATCTATACCTAATCAAGTTTTTTAACTTTTTTTTTAAACTCAAATTTGAGTAAAATTTTGGGTTTTCATTGGAGATAGTTTTCGACCATGAAAGATTTATCTCCTATGCATTCTCTATTAATAACGTGGATAGTCTATCTTTAACCAAATCAGAAAAAGAATTAGTCAAGATATACGTAAACTGTCCAAACACCCTTGATCGTAATACAAAAAAAAAAGTAAAAAAAAAAACCAAATCTAGGATGTCAACTCAACTATTTTTCGGCACCAAAATATATTTGTTCAATATGGTATCTTCACTTTTTGTCTACTAAAAAAATTATCACAAGTAAAATTTTACTATGTCATTATTTTTTATTAATTTGTAATTTTTTTTTCCAATCAATTATACAAATAATCTACTATAGAATCAATGATTAGGATGTATTTCGGTATGACACCACAACCTTACCCTTTAACATTAAATTTATATATTATCAGATAAAATATGTTGGACCTCTTTTTCTGTCAATTGCGGGTGAGATATTTTTGTACCTTTTTGGGTGGATAAACTTAGCTGCCTCTT